CATATGAGCAATTGTTCTGTGCTCTTTTACTTTTTATCCGACGCGCACAGGTAAATTCAAGGAGCAATCTTCATCGAATTCCGCATGGCTGCCGGTGCTTAACTCCCGGGTCCCGGAACCACGGCCGGGTACATGTGTCAACGATACATCAAACCTTCCCGATACCGTCCTGAATTTCATCAGATCCCATCCACTTATGGACAAAGCCGTAAATCACGAGCACAACAATCCAGTCTATTATAAGAGGGATTTGGTCTTCACCAAGCTCGTCGTTGACAAGTGAGTGTTGCAACAAAGTGTATCCTTTCTATTTGCAGGTGTGATATTCGACTGTTTATTTTACTAGCTTAATCCTTTTGGGATTCGGTAAATGTAAAAAGAGAGAAATTCGAGGAATTTTGTTATATATACGTGGCTGCTTATTTTTTAGAAACAATCTATATATTTTAAAGTATTTCAAAACTTAAACTCATTCATTTTATTTAAATTTAAAGCAGGGGAAATTAAAGAAATCTTAAACGAAAATGTGAAATAAAGCAGGTGCAAGTTGCAAGCTTATTAAGAGTAATGAGTTCATTGCGTTTACCCCTTCTGAGCTCGTAAATTAAAGGCTCACTGGTAAATCCCATAAGCGGCTTTAAAAGTATAAGGTTAATTCAAGGTTACTCATATGCGTATTAAAACATTTTTTCCAGAATCCGCATTGACATCCTCAATCAGGAATACATTGTGTACTATGTGGGCACCAATCTGGGTCGCATTTACAAAATCGTGCAGTACTACCGCAACGGCGAGTCGCTGTCCAAACTGCTGGATATCTTTGAGGTGGCTCCAAACGAGGCCATCCAAGTGATGGAAATCAGCCAGACACGTAAGAGCCTCTACATTGGCACCGATCATCGCATCAAGCAAATCGACCTGGCCATGTGCAATCGCCGTTACGACAACTGCTTCCGCTGCGTCCGTGATCCCTACTGCGGCTGGGATAAGGAGGCCAATACGTGCCGACCCTACGAGCTGGATTTACTGCAGGTATATAGGATAGGAAAGCCAAACAAAAATGTGGTTAAAGTTGGTGAAAAACCTGCTTGCTACGATTTTTTATCAGCAAGTAGTAAAGAGGACCTTTTCCAATTAAATGAAAATCACAGATAAAACCAAATATATAATATCACGCTTTCATCTACAGGATGTGGCCAACGAGACGAGTGACATTTGCGATTCAAGTGTGCTCAAAAAGAAGATTGTGGTCACCTATGGGCAGAGTGTGCACCTGGGTTGTTTTGTCAAAATACCCGAAGTGCTGAAGAACGAGCAAGTGACCTGGTATCATCACTCCAAGGACAAGGGACGGTGAGTGGAGTTCACTAAAATTTGGTTTGATTGACACATAACCAATCGTATGGGTATCTTTTGCAGCTACGAGATTCGATACTCGCCGACTAAATACATTGAAACCACTGAACGTGGCCTGGTTGTGGTTTCTGTGAACGAAGCTGATGGCGGTCGATACGATTGCCATTTGGGAGGTTCGCTTTTGTGCAGCTACAACATCACGGTGGATGCCCATAGGTAAGCAAACATATTCTGTCAATATTCAAAAACTATATTTAAAGATATAACAAGATATAAAGATATTAAATTACCCCCACATAATAATTATTATAATCACTCTAAAACATTGTTTTCGTACTTTATAGGTGCACTCCGCCAAACAAAAGTAATGACTATCAGAAAATCTACTCGGACTGGTGCCACGAGTTCGAGAAGTACAAAACAGCAATGAAGTCCTGGGAAAAGAAGCAAGCGGTAAGTGATAATGAGACCCAATGCCCCGGGGGTGGATTTGTGGTAAAATTAGGTTGGCGGAATGGTGGTGTTGGTGGTTATGGTGTTTCTGGGGGCTCTGGTGTGCCGAAGGCAGACACACACCATAATAAACGATTTTACTGGCAATTATTTTAATAGCCTTCGAGCCGCGGAGCGGCTGTCCAAACTGACACCGAAACATCAAATCAAAGGGAAAATAATAATAAAAGCGGTGTAAGGTAGTTAAGTTGTCATTATCCAGACGCCCCACCTGTGGTGTGACCCAAATGCAGGGTAATTGCCCACCTGGGTGGGAGATGCAATGGAAATGTAATTAAAATGCAATCACTTTGGGGCTTAAATGTACGTACCCCCGCAGTTATATTTACTAATCGTGTGTCTTATGTCCTTTCTTTTTCATTTCGGTTATAGCAATGCTCGACACGGCAGAACTTTAGCAGCAATCAGCATCCGAATGAGATTTTCCGCAAGCCCAATGTCTGATATCACGAACAGAGTTTCGCCCTCAACATGCCGTCATCGTCCAATCAGTTTTAGTAAATCGAATGCGAAGAGAACAATGCCGACGCCGAATAAGAGACCCAGCAAGGAGGACGGTCAAGAACCCATTATAATCATTATAATCACCGACATCATCATAGACATACTTTCTTCAGCAATGAACACAAAACTCTTCCTAAAGGATTATGCATTTACCGAGGCATTTACAATGCATTCATCGACTTAGACTTAGACCTAGGGTATTATCGCATGACACAGCTCCTCCCGTACGGTGCATTTCATCCACTTAAATCGATTCACATATAATACCATAAATACGCCACAACCAATAGTTAGTTACGACAATTGAACAAGGAGATACATATAAAACTGCCGCAGAATCGCACATTCATATCGTTATTTGAATCTAGACTTTGATCAGTTTCAGTATGATAACAACATATATATACATATATCCAAACTTTGAACTTTCAAGGCTTCCTTATAAATATGGCAACCTAAATGTAATCGAAGAAGCAATGTGATGTTAAGTTTTGATAAATTTATTAACAGCCTAACTGCATAATCGCGATGAACACAATATAAATGTACTATAACGACACATAAATTGAGATTGTACACACGCAAGCATACGAAACGGATATATGAATCAGCCCTAAATCGAATACAATTCTAAACTCACAAGCAATACTCGCCTAATGTGCATCGACATAATTAACTCGAATCGGTCCATAGCTTATATACTAAACGATATCCAACAAATGTTCATTAATGTGTATTATGTATGTGTAATTCGGAAGCCAGTTTAATCGTAAACCCCATTTCCATCTTGCCCCACTGAACAATTTATTAGAAGGTATTTCGATTATGATTTTAAGTGTCTTGCACTCTCTTCAGACTAAATGTACTTAAGGTAATTTGCAAAAATCTTTAGTTATTAAGCGTTTAGTTATAATAAAGTGAGATAAAAAACATTTTAATAAAAAATATCTAAAATTAAAAGGAATTTCACTGGGTTTTTATTTGGACTACCATAGAGGTATTTCATAAAGTTAAATGTTAGTTCATCATCCAATGAAATCTTCAAAATATATGAATAGTTATATAATTTTAAATGTCTTTGACTACTTATCCAAGCTTTACCATTGTTGCAAACATTTAACAATAATAGATCCCAAAATGGGGGTATGAGAAAATGCTCTCCAAATAATAATAATTTCGAATTTCATTGCAGCCCTGCTTATCTGCGAACACATTGCATAATTCCAACCGAGTGCGCAAAGACAAATGTTAATTTTAAATCAAATACTTTGAACTATTCAACTTGGGCAAATATTTTATAACGAGGAAACCCAAGCCGGACATCGGGCAAAGTTAACCACCCCCGGTTGGCAACAGTGTGTGTGTGTGTGTGTGTGTGTGTTAGCCAGGTTGTTGGAGACAAAGTTTGTCGTGCTGGGGACTCCGGCCTTTCGGCCAGGTCAAGCGCAAAGGCGAGAAATAACCAAATTTCCAATTTGGTTTTCGGGCTGCCTGTGTGTTTGGTTTGTCGACCCTTCGGTTCACCTTGCTCAAAGCCAAAAGGCAAACATTTGCGTTGAATGTGTGGGAAAAGATTTGCATATTTCTACGCTCGGCTACGAGCAACATTAAATTGAATTCCATATTCAAATAGTCGAGAGATAAGCGTGAGCATACTTTCCAATTATAGATTGTCCACCCGCAGACAAATAGAATTAAAGTGTAGCATTTTTGCATAATACATTGGGAGTTGGTCCTTCCTTGCAAAATGCGCCTGCTGCCGCTGACTGTTCCCACCTTAATTAGTTATGCAACACCAAAAATTAAGCTTAATTAGCGTTGACTCACTGGTTTGGAAAATTAATTATTTCCACTCGCCGTTATTATTATCGCTGTGCACTTGGCCGGAGCATCAGGGCCCAGCTTCCGGCCCCGGTTGTTGACTACTTAATTGAAATTCATATGATTTTTTCCTTTGCACTCTCCACTTTTGTCATTATCATTTAAATAGCGTTGAGGGCGTTTTAATCCCGGGCAGGAGGTTCCTCGTTGACAGGACTTCTTGGGCAGCTCAATCTCGCTGTTGGTTAAATGAAAATAATGCATATTAGTGGGCTACTCTGAAAACCCTAAGCTCTGGCCAACAATTATAAAGTGTTAAATATGAGATGAAAGAGGACCAAACTTTTAATTAAATAATGATTTTTGCCAATAATAATCCCATTTTGGAAATTACCTATGGAGTTCATCGAATAACTGATCAACTTCATAGGTAATATAGGTAATAAACAATATTCAAAGGTTATAATCAAAACCAAATGTTCTAGTAAGTAAATTATTAGTTACTATTAATTAAATCATGTTTTACCATTTTTAAAATGCTTGAATTTTTCATATTTCATAAACAATAATATTCACTTTAAATAATTTTTTATAACCTAAAATTGTTTAATATAGTAATATAATATCACCTTTTTTTTAAATAAAACTTTTAACAAATAAATATATCTGATAACGAAAAATTCCAGCGCCTGCCTGAACCAAACCCCACCAAAAACTTTTTCCCAAAAAAAACCGATCCAAGTAATCCATTTCCTCAACTGGGGGATCTGTCAATCCGAATCACAGGCTCGTGCCCAGGGAAAGTTCAGTTTAATTTAGCATGTCGTACGGGTCACAGATGAGCTCGCAGTAATAAAAAAAGGAAACAAAATTCTCAGTGTTAAAATAAAATCTTTTGAAAAACGCGCGTGACTAAAAATTTAGAGTTACGTGGCTCAGTGACCTATTTGCCTCTATATTGTTATAATAGTATAAATACGCGTTTGAAAAATTTCCAGTGTTTCTATATTGATATTGAAGTATGCCGTCGTATAAGGATATGTCTTTGGTGCGAGCTGGTCTGCGGTTGATGGGTAGTCGCAGTGATATCGGGAAGTCGATGGTGCCGCTCTGTCGCAGCTATGCCTCCTGCAAGAAACCCAAGGGCGTGGTGGTGGGCGTCTACTCCAAGGATGGCGACAAGCCGCCCAAGACCACTGCGAATGCGGTGACCCTGGATGATGCCCTCGGAGGCAAACTGTTGACCCTGATCCGTGAGCGTGGAATGGACGGTTCGGTCGGCAAGGGATTGCTATTCAGCGGCTTCGAGGGCGAATTCCAGGCGGTGGCCGTCGTCGGAGTTGGCAACCAGGGTGCCTCCTACAACGAGAACGAGGAGCTCGATGAGGGCATGGAGAATGTGCGAGTGGCGGCGGGCACTGGAGCCCGGGCCCTGCAGCTCCAGGGGATGTACGAGGTGCATGTGGACGCCATGGAGTACCCGGAGCAAGCGGCCGAGGGTGCAGCATTGGCCGTCTGGCGGTACAATGCCAACAAGAGGAAGAAGAACCGCATCATGACGCCCAAGCTGGATATGTACGGCAAGGGCGATCGGGATGCCTGGGTGCGGGGTCTCTTCAAGGCCGAATCCCAGAATCTGGCCAGGCGTTTGTCAGACACTCCTGCCAACATGATGACCCCCTCCATTTTCGCCCAGGCCGCCGTGGATGCCTTATGCCCTTGCGGAGTCTCCGTGGAGGTTCGCTCTATGGATTGGATTGAGGATATGAACCTGAACTCCTTCCTGATGATCGCCAAGGGTTCGTGTGAGCCTCCCCTGCTGCTGGAGTGCAGCTACTGCGGCACCTCGCCCGAAGATCGTCCTGTCCTGCTCCTGGGACAGGGTCTCACTTTCCACAGTGGCGGGCTGTGCCTGAAGCCCAAGAAGGGAATGGATATGTACCGAGGAGCCATGGCTGGAGCTGCTGTTTGTGTGGGCGTCCTTCGGGCCGCCGCCGCCCTTTCGCTGCCCATGAACATCACGGCGGTGATGCCGCTCTGCGAGCACATGCCCTCTGGAATGGCGGTCAAGTGCGGCGATGTGGTGACCCTGCTCAATGGCACCACCATGGGCATCAAGAACGTGGACAAGGCGCCGGTGGTGCAGCTGGCCGATCCCCTGCTCTATGCCCAGGCCACCTTCAAGCCCAAGCTGGTCATCGACATCGGATCGGTGGCCATGGGTGTCAACTATGCGGTGGGTGGAGGAGCCAGTGGCCTGTGGACCACCTCCAAGTCGGTGTGGCAGAACTTCAGGAAGTCTGGCGGTCTGACTGGCGATCGCATCTGGCGTTTCCCGCTGTTCAAGTACTACAAGCAGATCGTCAACAAGAACATCACCTATGACCTTTGCAATACTGGCCGGGGTCCTGCCAGCTCCTGTCTGGCCGCTGCCATCCTGCACTCCCTGGTTCCCTGCGTGGATTGGGCCCATCTGGACATCCGGGGCACCGGCATGACCACCAAGATCAACCCCAGGCCCTACCTGCTGAAGGACTCGATGACCGGACGTCCGACGCGCACTGTTATCCAGTTCATGTACCAGATGGCCTGTTCCGGCCAGTAGAACCCTTCCTCTATGGACACCTCATTTGTGGGCCTGTGTTGTAGCTTGGCCCATGTATTCGATATTTGATTCTTTGGTACTGTGTTTGCACGCAACTAATCTCTGGCCTGGGATAGCGATCATCGTGAATGTGCACATTAATATCGTTAACAATAAATTGTATGAATTATGAGGATAACAAATTATTTTGCTTTATAATTTAATCGCCGTTTTCTCAATATCCGGTTAAAATTCTAGTTTATCTGTCGTTAAAGCTAACTTGAAGTAATATTCGTTTTCGGAAGATAATCTTGTCACACAGTTCGTCCGAAAAAGAAATTTATAGACCCAAACATTTAACCAGAACCTAACCTCTAGTTTTTCTAGAGTTTTCAGTCTGTCAGTCAATCTACACTTTTCGAAGCAACAATTTAACTCAATGACAAAAGTTAACATGGCTTTGAGATATCTACACTAAATGATAGATGTTCACTTAGAAAGGTAACCAACAACTACATGCATAAGATCAATGGACCTATATCATTAATATGTATTTACCCCAAAGTGCACAATTAACATCCATTATCTGTTTTATGATTTTATAAACTCCAATTTCGGAATAGTTAATTTATTGGTTAAGTTTAAATTACCCCAATACAATTCCCCGCTGATTAGTACTCAATCAAGCAGAACTTAGACCAACAGTTGCAACCTAAGGTTGAGTAATTTCACCTCAGTTTGAGGCCTCCTTTGGTGCCCACCTGTCAAATCAAAATTTGATTTTCAATCGAATAAATATGGCCTGATTTACCAACTCGATTGATGGCAGCATTGCGGATTTTGGGGCTTTGATGTGCGATGTGATTATGTTGACTATAAAATATTTACCTCTTGGCTGGAGTGACGGGAAAATTGCTTTGAAGTCTATGGTGCGGGGTGCAGAGGTGCCAATCAATGGAATTCGGTAAATGGCATTATGAGGTTGCCTTGATATTGTCCACATACATATGTATGCTCATTCATACAAACGTGCCAGCATTTATCCGGCAGAATGTTACGGCTAATTGCAAACGGAGCACGAAATGGCAAATGTCTCTCTCAATATTTAATTGGTCCCTGCCAGGCTTAGATGCTCAACTGGTCCTCCGGTCCTCTGGTACTCCGATTTGGTCCTGTTGGTCCTGGCTGCCAAAGGATGTTCGCCAGGTGAACATGGGCATTTGACTGCAAGCCATGTAGCTGCAGTTGGCAAATGTTGGCAAATCGCCGTTTGTGTGCTTTTGACTCGGTTTGTTTGCGGCCGCTTGGCCGGTCAAATTTAATTTCGCCTTCTCGAATGCGAAATGGCATACTTCTCGATTATATATTATACACACAGCCCCTTGGGTCCTCGGGTCGAAACCTTAACATTGCACTTAACGCATACAGCTGCGCACAATGTCCTATTTGCCCAAAGATTTTCCATCCGCCCAGCCACCCACCTGCCCCCCGTGGCCCCCTTGGCCCTTCTTGCCATTTGTTACCTTGATTAGCTAATGCTAATTTGGGGATTTGCAATTTCCTCTGCTTGTTTATTTATGCCTCGGATTGTGTTTGAAGTGCTGATTGTGTGGCCCAAATGTAATACAGAAACGAGTTTGAAATTCATTGGCAGCTCAATTGGCAGATATTTTATAATATCTGTGTCTAAATAGGGTTTATTGAATACCAAATCAATTTATATTTTACCAAATTGGCGGTTGGTATTTGCTAATAAATACCTTTATAAATAGGAATCATATATTTCTCTGGAATACCGAGAAAGAGCACTTATAATTGATTTGTTTTTGCTTTATATATTTGGTTTTAAGAGCCAATTTCTTAATTTCAGGTTAACTTATGTTTACTGTTTGGAATAATTTTAATTTCTCAATGTTATGTTGGATTGTATCTGTTTAGCTAGTTCACTGTTTTAGTTAAACTTGTAAATATTTACATTTTTTTTAAATTATATCAATTTATAAACTTAACCTGACATTGAGAAATCAGTTCAAAGTATGTTTATTTTATCACCAATGTATTGTAAACATTTTATTGTTAAGAATGTCTATTTATAATAGGGTTTATGTCACAAATCACAAATAAATGTACGTTTGACCGACTTTCTATTACAATACATTTTAAGCTCTACCCCCTCTCTACAACTCTTATACCATTTTAAATACGATTGACTGATTTTCCATTTAAAAGTAAATAAGCTTAAAGACACAATATCAAGTGTCAAAAATGTCATAACATTGTATACACTGAATAGCTCTTAGAACGTAAATTAATTAGTCTCCTTTGCTTTGTAAAATACGCCTAATTTGTCTTCAATTAGAATACCTAAAGGCGAATAAAGGACATTCTGGTTTTGTAACTCCCAATAAAAACCAAAAAAAACATTCACAGCTCTCCACATCCAAATCCCCGATGGCCAGATTGCCCTCAGCTGAACCCATTGACTTTGGGCCATTACCGGGAGCAAGAAAAAAAATTAAAAAACATAAACGTCTCATTTGAACACAAAATGGCAATTTGCTCAAGACAACACCGAAAAGGCTGCCCCCGTGGGCGGCCGGGGGTTAAGTGGGCGGGGTCCCGCCTTGGACACGGACTAAGGAAATGCACGGATTTTATTGCTTATTTGTTAAATGGCTCGAAAAAGTTAATCAAGCGTGATTTTGATACGCCCCAGAGATAACGAATTATACTAGGTGGAGGGAACTTGGGCAAATGATTTTCCCCTGCATACATATGCAAGTAGCCCTGTGTATATATGGTGTGCTTTTTCCTCGGCTATTGTTTTTATTGGTAATTTGGGAAGAACAAAAAAAAATTCTAAATTTCGCCGTTTGACTTTTAAGAACATGAAAAAAATGCCAAGCTCAGACATATCGTCAACGGCACCTGGCGTTTGTCGTTTTATGAATTAATAAGGACGTCAGGTCGGTTGGAAGTCCCCAATCCTTATATCCTTCATCCCATAACCCCTAAAACCCCACCAACTGGGACTTCAAAACATAATGCGAGCGGGATAATACAAGCCGTCTTGTAGCTTATTAAACGTATTTTTACAGCATGCTTTACAGGAATTCTCACTTTATATGCAAACATGTGAAACACTATAAACAAAAGACCCCAATTTGCACGCACACACATACGCACTGTTGCCCTCAAAAGCACACACATACACACACACATCTGTTGTGGGGGAAAATTCGCTTTCTATTAAATTTTACAGTAAACTGAATTTACACCCGCTCAACAGCGGGGCGTAGGTGTTGCGGAAAAGCAGGAAAAGCAGCAGCACTTTTCTCATATAAACACAAAATTGCAGAAAATGGCGACACCTGCTGTTGCAAATTAGAAAAATAAGATGTTTCATAAAAATGAAATGTCAGTTTTGGGGGAAGGTAAGGAAAAATAAAAGTGGGGAAAACAGAGGCCCAGCAGCACAGCAGGAAAATCAACAACAACAGGTGACAGGTTAGGGAAAGTTGGTGGGCCAAGCCAACACAAATACGACGTATTCAAATTGAACACTTGGAAAAAATGAAAATGTTGAAATAAAAAACTAAATATTTAAAAGGAGAAAATAATAACATTAAATAGGGGTTGCACACAAATCATTAAGGGCCTTAAATCACATTTATAAGTAATTTTGGATGCCTACAAGTATGCAGTAAATAAAGTACAGTAGTCTTTTTGACCGATTTTATTGTACTTCTGAGCCTCAAATATATTGTTGCATACTTTCAGACACCTAAAATTTCAAAAACGAAGTGGTTTGTTTGGCACTTGCGATAAAGAGATTTTTTACTGAAATAGGTGTATTTGTTTATTATTATAGGTATAACGAACATTTTCTATACTTTTGGAATATGGAGTTTCACATATAAATGTATATTTTCTTATTAGAAAATCCATAAACAGATATTTTAACCTTCTGAGGTTCTTAAATACTCTGTTTCCTTCAGTGCAACCAAAATTCAGATATGAACAGTTTCAGAAAACCAAAGACGAGCTCCTCTGAGTTGATGGGGAATATCTTCTTTTGACATATACCTTTCGTTTTTCCTTTTTGGGGATAACTCCCTTCCGAAAGGTAACACGTCTCTTATCAAACATTGTGCTCACAGCGATTGGGCACAAAAGTCATTTAAAGTTTGCCGAGCAGTTCGATGCTGCAACAGTGGATGTGGAAAATGCTCGGGAAACAGCAGCAGAAGCCGTAAACAAACACAGGGCAAGAGGAAGCAAATCTAATAAAATCAGCAGATGATGGTCATTAGACCGAAAAGTAATTTCATTTATTCGCAAACTCGATTTGTTGCTTTGTAGCACGAAGTGCGCACGAGTGCTGCTCCTGTTTCTGCTCCTGTTTCTGTTTCAGTTTCAGTTTGCTTTCTGTCCCGTCCGAGGACTTTGGCCGGGGTATCCTGCAGTGGCCAAGATAAAGGCCAGGGGTCAGGGGTCAGGGGAGTTTTAGGCGGCTAAGCAAGGCAAATCAAAGCAGCGAAGCGTTCAACCAGCGTCGCGCGTAAAAACCAAAAAGAAACAGCTAGAAACGGGCTAAAAGAAACACAAACAATGGATGCAGCCAAAAGCAGACAATGTGAAAAATCACATGCACTGAGAACAATATTAGTACAGATATATAATTTCTCAAAAAAACTATAGAACTGCATAATTTTTTAATCTAAATATTTTTGAAAGATTTTTGACATTGATTGTAAATTCTAAGAAAGTAGCTAGCTCAAAAATTAACAAATTTGTAACTTTTTTTTTGCATGATGTATGTTAAGTTAAATTATTTACATAATTAAATTGTTCTCATTAATTGGTCTATTTTTTTTAATTTTAAGAAATATATTTGTACATTTTTGAATATTTTATTTTGAATACTGGGTAACTTCAAGGTGAGTGCCTTAAAATATTATAATGAATTCAATTTACGTTTTTTCATTAACATGCTGTAAACATTTTCTAGACATTAAAAAAGTCAAGACTGGCAGTGTTTTAATATCTTCTTAAAAGAAGTCGCAAAAGTACCTATGATATAAACATTTTTATTTCTCTTTTTCGAAATAAAAATAACAAAAACGTTTTCTCATCCCAAGAGATGCTTATAAGCCAATGTTGATAATAATTTTTCAAGACATTTATTTTTCTGGGTGCACTG